GAGCAGCTGAAGCAGCTCCATAACGGTGCTCTCTGTGTCCTGCATCGATCCTGTCGGTCTCCCAGCCACATATATATTCATGTAAGAATCTGGCAGCTCTTGGATTTGTCAGGAGCAAGATTGTGAACGCCCAGTTGCAATCTATCAGAATCAGAATACTTTAATAATCTCTAAGGAAATGATGGGTTGCAGTTGCTGCAGTACAGTAACAGAAACAGACTATTTAACAATACAATATATTACAGATTTAAGAAAGAGTAATAATATATACAAACCATTCTATAATAAATATCAAGAACTGACAGATGTGATTATAAATAAATGTCAGAAATATTTACAGCAGCACTAAATAGAAAAGAGCATGTTAAAAAAGGGTGTAACTATTGCAGTGTTAACAGTGTGTTAGATGGAGGAGTTGTACAGGAATGATTACGTATGTCGTGGTGGTGCTTTTTGGTAATCTCAGTCTCTCACTGAATGTGCTCCTGTGGCTAGCCAGCACATCATGGAGTGGATGGGAGGTATTTTCCAACATTGTCTTTATCTTGGACAACATCCACCTCTCAGACACCATCCTAATGGAGTCCAGCTCCATCCCCACAAGTGCTTTAAGGGTCTCCGAAAAGCGCTATATAAATGCAATCAATCTTTATTATTATTGTTGTTACTGGCCTTGTGGATCAGGTGATTGAGTCTGTTGGTTTCAGCAATCCTCAACCGGGTCCCCCAGCATGCAGACGACAGCACTGGCCACAACAACAAACTTAAATTCATTGACGTGCAGGTCACACCTGCAAGTCCATGCGGTGTTAGAGCTGCTGAGGAATGTGCTTGCTTCATTTGTCGTACTCTGTACCTTCTCTGTGACTACATGGGTCATCCATTGCTCCCCTTTTCAAGAAATACATGTGCTCTATCTTGCAACAAGGTCTTCTAATTAGCTTTCAATGCAGCAGTCATGTTAACATGTATCGTCCGTGTTGTATAAATGAATCAAATACAAAATTAATTAAATAAAACAACACAAAACAACATGTCTCCGGTGACCTCCTGCACACGATTGCTTGTTCTCAGTCAAAGCCACTCCATCACTGGGCAGCCTGCCAGAGTCATCAGTGATGACATTTGGTGCTTTCTTTTGCTCACATTCCAATAAGCTTTTCTTTTTACTGATTAAAAACAATAGAAAAACAGCAGCAGTGAGGGATGGGCGGTAATATTGTTGTAACTAGCTGTTAATCCTCTCTTCAGTCTAAACTATTCACATTCAAATATGAAACGTAATTGATGTAATTAATCCTGATAAGATGACAGGTTATCTGTCAAATACCTGACGTTAGAATGTTTATTGAACTAAGTTGGGCGTGTGCGAGTCAAATCCCGGAGAGCTTGATGGTTAACAAAGCGTGCAGACAAACAACCACAAGTCGCCAACAGTCACCGAGTAACGGAGAGAGAGAAACGTGGAGGACTGACGACACTTGCTTGACTAAAAGGGAAAAAGCAAAGGGACGCCAACCTGAGAGATGCACGCTGCACTCTGCTGTGGGTTAGACTGTGATAACCTCTCTCTCATCAGTGTTGTCCTCTTAGATTGGGGGATTTTTGTCTGTGCTTGAAATAAACTCAGAGCACAAATTTCACCGGGGATTGGGGGGGATTTCTTCTCCCTCAAGTTTAGTTCAATGTCCGGTTGCAGTCTGCTGAGCTATCAGTACTTTTGTCACAAACTGTCTCCTCTGTGTTTGGTACATTTAAATGATCGTTTACATATCATGTCCTTGTAAACTCACTTTTCACCAAAGAGACGAGAAACATTTGAACAAACAAACAAACAGAAAATGATGTTGACGGAGTGCCTTTTAGTGCAGATTCTAAATTACTCACCCACCACAGTAAAAACATCACACAACTTGTGGAAACATGACGCTGTCACAACACCAAATATGTCCTTGTTCTCTTGGCTCACTTACTTTAGGTTAACATAATAGAAAGCTTTGTGGATGCCACTTTTCAACAACACAAACCTCCTCTGACATTGAGCATGATCACTGTTTTCAGTCAGACTCTCTTACCGGGCATCATGCCAGCCAGTCTTTATCAAAGCGTGACATCAAGCCCAAACGATAACATTTGTTTTTTGGCTCTCCCCGTCCTCTTGTGTGTGCTCGGCTTTGTACTACACACAAACAGTGGCGTGAGGGATAGACGATTTAATGTCGATTTTCCTTTTAAATCCCTTTTTCAGTAGTTGATTTCATTTCTCTTTAGAATGAATGATTCATATTAAAATATTTAACCTATGCTTTAAGTCACATTAATTTACTAAGTATACGCTGACAGACCGTATAATCTTCACTGAAGCTCCAGAACAGCCTCGGGGTGTTATCATAACTACAACACTCCTCTGTGTTTGTTAAGATTCACCGCAAAATCCGCCTCAGCGGTGAAACAGATCACTCACGCAGCGTGTGCTGATTGTCTTTAAGCTCAGCAGTCATTTGTAATTCTAGATGACGTGATTAGAAGTTCATTTCTTCGACCTGTTGAAGTTCAGCAGCGCCTGGTTTTACAGCAAATCACTTTATCACGTTGCTGCTTTGGATTTACTGAGCTTTAACACTAATCTGGATTTCTGGCTACCTTAGCGTTAGCATGCTGTCTGTGCCGGTGCTTGCAAGCTGCGTTAACATTATACTGCTGTTGTATCTATCCTGGAGCAATCTCCCTCTACCATCGCGCTCTCATCCTTATGTGCAATACAAAGGCTGTGCGTACATACATACATCAAAAAGTAAAAAAAAAAAAAATCCAGTAAAACAGAATTTTACAAAAATGCAAAAGAATTCTGTGATTACCTGTACCCATATTATTTTACGTGTATGGCAATTTTACAATAATATGGGTAAAATAATTCGCATCTTGTTTTGTCACTGAAAAAAAGACACAAGTTATCCATAATATGCTATTTTGACTAGGTAGGGGAGACCGGGGATAGTTGTAACGTGGGTCAGTTGTAACACTTCCAATTTCTCCAATCAGGGCTAAGTTTCAAATGATGTGACTCATCCTGTGCATGCCCAACTCAGTTCTGCTATCACATGT